AATTCTTAATGGTTCATGCTTCACTTCCTTCATAAAGTTCTTTGTGACCATCTCAATCATATACATTAGGTAAGGAGCATAGCCACAACTTCTCGATGGGTTAAAAGATGTGAGGCGAATCTCTTCCCAAATGAAGTCACACATTAAATGGTCTTGCACTTGAGTCCATCCTAGCAAGCAAGTTCCTTGTAGTTGACATGATATTAGCAGCATCCCCCTCCTTAGGAGCTAGTGTCTTCCTAAACATGCGGTTAAGATAAAAATAAGAGAGCAAAAGACCTTTAATGCTCCCAAGAGTAACATCTTCATGAGGGTTATACATGAACTCTATTTGACTGTTTGTAAGCACACGTTCCACATGAATTCTTTCTTTGTTAGCATCATCTTGACCAAATCCAAGCAACCTAGAGAAGGCCATGTATTTGATTTTGTACCACTCTCCCTCAGTCATCCAATGCATAGTCTTAGCTTGCACCAGTCATACTTGAAGCCCATGATTCTCTTCACTCCTTTGCTCTCACATGCACCTACCACTTCTTTAAAGATAGGGTCGTCCTTCTCTTCCATATACTTCCAATCAACCCACTGCATTTTTAGATTGGATCCTTCCTTAGATAAATGACCGTCTCGTAGAAATCTTGTTGGAAGTGATTATAAAACCTATAATCCAATGAGAGCTGCTCACAAACAAAAGGATTTGACTCCCTCTCCTTCTTTACTTGCTTGGCCTGGCCCTTGTAATTGACAGCACGCCTACCATAATCACTAGGAGCAGGGCTATGCAACCTCAAAGGACCAACTGTTGGCTGTCCTTGTGGCTGCTGTTCTTCATCCTCGGCACAGGAGCTAGAAGCAGCTCCCTTGCCCTTGCCCGTGCCTCTCCATGGTGGCAAAGTATCACCTCTTGGCACAGGGGTGGTTCGAGCTGCAACCGAGGGCTTATTTTTGGTCCTCATTGGAACCTTGGATGCCTTCCTCTTTGACACAACCTTGCGGATACGTTCATGTGGGGCTTCACCATGTCATTCATCCCCATCATTCCTTGCTTTGACCCTTCTCTCATACACACGAATATTCTCCTTCTCACTGCATCGAGCTGCCTCGACAGACCCTGTGATATATAGATAACATGTTTGAGATTTGAAATTGGATTCAAAATTATGACTTAAGAACTGTTATGGCATAGGTCGAAAGTTCTCAGTGAAATCTTCTAGCTTATGCAGTTCAACCCTAAAATCATAAATTCAAGAGATTCATCCAACGGAATTGAAAGCTTTTCTAGATCATGTATCTATAGCATCTTAGCAAATGTAACACCAAAGGGATTTGACTCCAGAGCTGTACACAAAAAGATCAGGCAATTAACATTTGTGAGTACCTTTTGAAAGGGATCCATGAAAGCAACGTCGCTTCGAAGGAGGGTCCGAGTCCTCAACCACGAGGGATGAAGTTTCAAGTGGCTCAACATGCAAGTCCACATGAACATGACTATAGGAGTCGCCTTGAGCAGCCCCACCATGTACTCCTTTATCTGCTCTTAATGAACTGTATGCCTCGCCTCTATAGGCTGAATGGTTAGGGCGCCATCCTTGTGACTGCTGAGGTGGATGGGTGCTTTATACCTTTCTGGATGCACCTGTCCTGCATGACTTTGGGGGTCTCCCAAGACCTGATTCCATCAAACGTTGACATTAGGGAATGCATGAATAGATAAATATGAGTTGTGAAATATGTATATAGATTGATAATTATGGACAAAAACATAAGGTTGATTAGTGTAAAATGCTAACAACCAAGCGTTCACTAGAACCTGCCTAGTTACCTCTCTTGAGCTATCTCAAGCTCAGATGTCAAACTTTCAGCTAACTCAAAACCAAATTACCGAAGACAGATTCCCCTATTAATGTCATTTTGGTATTGTGTTGGCCTCTCAAGAGTACTTTCGATTAGCTGTTCCCCATTTATATCCCAGCTAACTGAAAGCAAGTTCAGCTGACCTCTCTGTCCAAATGTAATTTAATGACTTCTAAGGAAATGCTCCAGCAATAGTCCTAAAATACCTGAGGCTCTGGAGGCAGCGGCTGCGCCATTGCGACACCGATTCTTTGGGCTGCCAGGCCTGCCTATGGCGCCTGCCGGCGACGACGCCAGATTAGGCAGCGAAGCCCCGAGCCCCAATGGCGCTGGAGATAAGGGCACCGTTGTAGCCCGCCTGACTGTGATCGTCTTGCCGCAGCAGCCAAGGCCTTCGGCGGCGCGCCAGCGTCCGATCGCCGCCCGGCGAGAGGGATGGCGTGGCGCGGTGGCGGCGGCTGCGGCATGAGCTCGGGGGCAAGCGCTGCTGGCGCCGCAGCCCGGCATGCGAAGTCCGTGGTCCCGTTTTCCACCTCCGGCGTCTCGCGCGCAGCTCGCAAGCAATCACCTCCACCGCCCGGAAGACGGGCGTCGCCGCCATTGGCTGGGAAAAGGGCAAAGGGAGGTTTCTCTCGGGTTTTTGGGAACGCTGAGCTGCGGTCGAATCGCAGACAGCTGCAGATAGCAGCTATCCAATTTCACATTTTACTCCATTTTTTTTGTCTCTGTTATTGTTCGCACACCAACACCCAGATATGCCACAAAATTTTATCCTAACTACTGCTCCCTCCGTCTCCACCGTCCCGTGTTTCGAGAAATCGAACCATCTTAATAATCCAAAGCATCTATGCAAAGATTGCATCTACGACAGGCAATCATCAGTGGGTGGGTGGAACTTAGCACCGCAAATGAGTACAGACTTATAGCCGGTCTACAAATGTCAGAGAAAACGGAGAAGAGAAGAATTAATAAGGACAGAAAGAAGAAGTTCGATAGTATATTTCTAGTGGAACGTATGAAAAGAAAGAAACGAAAAATGTCTTCCCTCACTACAACCGATTGAAGTGCCTACCTAATCAAAGAAGACATTCAACAGTATTTTTTAGTGTTTGAAAGTATCAAGATGGATAACAAGCTTGTGTTTTTAGTTTTGTGACGTTGTTCGGCTGGTTGTGATTTTGTTGTGTCTTTTGGGTTCTCGTGTTTTGTAAATATTTTGTACATCTTTTTTAAAACTTTCTCCTACTAATATATTTCGGCAAAGCTTTTGCTAACCCTTCAAAAAAAGAACGAGAACCAATTATGCAAACAGGACAATAATTCCTAAAATCTAGAAGTTTGTTGGTTTATGGATTAGATTAGACTACAAGATGTGCAGCTGCGTCCGATGTACATGACACGATTACTTGGAAATGGACACCTGATCGCAATTATTCCACTCGCTCGGCGTACATGATACAATTCCGTGGTTCACACCGGAAATTCCATCATGAACTCATCTGAAAGCGCGGGCGGAAAATAAGTGCAAAATCCACACCTGGACCCTCTTGCACAACAAAATCCTAACGGTGGATAATCTACAAATGAGAAAATTGGCCACAACAGGACCATTGTGCCTTGTGTAACGTTCCTTTGGAGACAGGCTTGCATCTATCCTTGCTATGCCCCTTTGCAAAAGCCGTCTGGGATCAGGTGTTGTCTTGGGAAAAGTTTTCAGTTCAATGGCCACAGCAAGACCTTGCCTCTTTGGCAGAATGGTGGGAGCTGAAGCAAGCAGAGTGCCAAAGCAAGACCGCTGGCATTTCAATGGAATAGTAATTTACATCATGTGGAATTTGTGGAAGGAGAGGAATAGGAGGATCTTCGAAAACATGGCTCCTTGACCAAAGAGGACACAGTGCAAATACCTATGAAATTTTTCTATACATATAAACTAGCGGTGGGGCAAATCCTATCTCCGTTTGGTCCAAGGACCCGTATGTTAGGCACCTAGAGTGCCGTTTGTACATAAACCTCTTTTCCTATTTAATTGGGCTGCCATTTCCTAAAAAATCACTTACCAATAGCGAAATCAATTTCCATAATCAATTGGACCATAGCTACCAAAAAATTCAGAACAAATAAAAGAGGTCCTAAAATAACATAGGCTAATCATAATTCCTATAACCAGAAACCAAGGCGAACTCTCATCTGCAGTCCTAAAATAACTCCTCATGCCATTAACGCAATGAGTCTTGGATCCATCTTGGATAAAGTCAATAACCATTTGGACAACTAAAATTTTGTTTCCAAATAAAACTTGAATTGTGCTAGTTATAAAATCACAGAATTGCATGTAAGATTTCTACATGATACTGATGATATAGTAACAAAGAGAATTACATTTCTATGTCAATTTCTGGGAAATGACAGAAAAACAAGCGCCAACAGTACATGTACTTGCGTTTTAATGCACTAGATCTAGGACACTAAGACCAGTGATACCCTATTTTCTGCATTATGTTTAATTGAAATTTGATTGGTTATTAATAACCAGATAACCCAATTTCAACTGACTTCAGCCTCAAAGGACAGATATGATTTGCTATCAACAAGACTATCCCAAAGATTAGACTACTACATGGACTGCCTCAAAGGACATATATGATTGGCTATCAACAGGATTATCTCAAAGATTAGACTACTACATGGACTGTGAAGGTTCATCAATGAAAACCATATATTCACCAAGATGTCATATATGTGTGCTATAATACAAAACTAGGTATCATAAAGCATATAAACTAAAATAAGGCATGTCTGCATCATATGGGCCTCAAAGAATTATCTGCAAGATTGCGTACAAAGATTTATATGTCAGTTTAATGTAATGCAATTGACATTATGATAACACCACTGCGTTCCTTCATCGAATTGCTACTGTTACTGATATTGCAGTTTTGCATTACAAAAGTTGTGACAGTGACATGGCCAAACATTGATTCTTAATCCAGTACCTTGATAAGATGTGCAACATAATTTAAGAAGCTAATTAAAATTAAACTTACCAGCCACAGATTCTAGTCACCATATAGTACTATAGTAAAACAAGACAGATAATTATAAGAACTAAACTGCCTACTCCCCATAGGTAATGAAATGACGATCTATATTTTGCGACACCTGCTTGTCTTCTCCAGTACATCAACTATGACAGAAGGGCATGTTCTTTTGAGATTTGCATAACCTTGAGTGGCCACAATAGCTCTCATCATATCCGAAGAGGCCATAAACTCAATGAAAATGTCTCTAAGGCTCTTGCGGTTATGCTGGTCAGCTAAGGCCAGTGTAGTTGCCACAGTCTCCACACAAAGGTGCTCGACAAGAATACTTGCACACAACAGCTTCAACCTGTCCATGGCATATTTATCTGAAGCCACAAGTAAATGCTTGATGATCTCGCTTGTAATCATTGTCACCGATGTCATCATCAAAGGCCGACAGCGCATCAGTATAGATGAAATTCAGTAGGGACTTGAAAACATCAGGCTGCATGTCTTCCACAGTCACGCACCGTGCCTTGGTCTCCTTCATCTTTCCATACAGCTGTGCCTTGAACACAGGGACCGTGTGGCGAGTACAATCTTGTGCGTTGGGAAAGTCTCTCCTCGGACACTGAAAATCATGTCTGCTTCCTCTTCATCCAACAACAGCCTACTAAAATGCTCTGATAGATCTGAGGGTGGCACTTGAACTTCGAAGCCCCCCTTGGTTTTGCATAGTTCAAAATCCCTGACGACTATGAGATCACATTGAATGTTCATGCGATCATTCTGGATGTAGCCATTCGATGGAAGCTCCAGCTTGCTTTCTCTTGCAACAAAATAATTGCGTGCGACAAACATGGTTGCGGTGGATTCCGAACACATAATACTCTCTGGTCGACATTTAATCTGGTTCACCAGAAACAGATCATAGAATGCCCTCACCTCGACTCCCTCGTCCATGAGTACCAGAGCGACGAGAAGCGAACATCCTGGTGCCCTCGGTGACGCCGTCAGGGTAGAAGCGGATTGCCCAAGAGTGGCCGCCGACGGTGAAGATGGCTGACTGAACGAAGTTGCCGATGCCCATGCCTTTCTTCAGGTTGTACCCGATGATCTCGAATTTGTGCGTGCACATCTCCGCCCGAGTGGTGCATCTTGACGCAATCACCTTGGATTGGGTTGCCATATCGTCCCTACAGCCAGGATATATAGCAAGAACTTAGCGCAACAAGTTACTTTAAAAAAGTGCCTTTCTATGGGTGGTGGAGGCGAACCTTGGAAGGGAGATGTGATCGTCGTCGTCGGAGGAGGAGGCGGCGATGAAGGGCCGATGGGGCATTGGGGAAAGTTGGGAGGGACAAGAGAATTTAGGTGATAGCCACTAAACTTATAGCAAAAGGAAAACATTAAGTAGGTTTGGAACTAGATCTTCTGTGGCATGATCAATGTAGTGTATGCACGGTTGATACAATCACTCTGCAAACCTTTTTTGACTGTAGCATTTGCTTTGTAGCTTCAGTTTTGGACCGCTCGTTTCAGATTGGACAGTACAATCACCCTCAGGATGCTACTTTAGGTATGGTTGGAAAATTGCAACTGGCACTATTTATTATATTTATAGTTATATAAGGTATGTGTTGATTTGGGATAGTATATGAAAATCTTGACTATTTAGCTCTAAAAAAATCCATCGGGTTGAGTGGGGGTGGCCTTCAATGTGTTGGGGAGAAGATAAACACTCCAACTCTAGCTTTCCTAGAGTGGTTTGCTCCGGTATCTGGACTGATCACTGATGGCAGCATCAACGTAGCACCTTGGACCTGCAATAATGGCAGGGATGGAGATAATGGCCGTGAAAAGTTGTTGGACCCTGTCTGAGGTGATCCTTAAGGGAGGATAATTGCCATTGATTCCTGTTTTGGTCTTGAGGTAGGAGATGTATTCTAAGAGAAGGGTCTCCAAAGAACAAAAAGCTCAAGCAAAACCAAATTTAAGATTAATTGACTTCTCGTATTGCGAGATGGAGACTTTGTTTTAGGATGGAGGAAGTACTCCCTCTGTCAAAAAAAAAATGCAAAAAAGTGGTTTACGTTTTACCCAATTTCTAGTGAATGTTATTCACATTTATATCTGTAAATTAATTTATTATGAAAACATATATTATAATTAATCAAATGGTATTTATTTGATATCATAAATATTGACTTTTTATCTTTAGTTGATCAAACTTAAGATATTAAAACATGACCCTATCCTACAATTATACTTTTTCTTGGACGGAGGGCATTAGGGGAGCCACAAGCTTTTAGAAGCCCGGGCAATTCTTATTATGTAAAAATATTTATATAGAAAATCTTAGGGACCTATTTTGATATAAAGAAAATTTCCTTTTGAACATTGGCGACCAGCCCAGCCGGCCGCCCGGGGTGGCCGGGCGGTGGCTCGGCCACTGACGGAGGGAGTATTATACAACATATTTAAGAGAATACTTAAAAAAAAGATCACGCTCAGGCCTTCCACACATCATGAAGACGACATGACGCCTAGCTCTTCACGATTCCAAAACGGCATTGGCCCATAAAATGAAAATAAGGAGCCAAGGTAGAGACCATGGGCCTTGTATTGAGGGTGCATGAAGTGAAGACGTTTGGTGTAGACTTCATGGCATCGAGAACCTGCCAACTCTAAAAAGAGTTTTCATCCGTCCAGACGGTGAATTTATAAGTGACGAAGAGTCCGAGGTACCAACCATAAACCATAGAAGCTGCACTAAGGAGCTTCTTCAGCGAGCATCTTCTGGGAGGCGCCATCATTCGTATAACTAGATATTTTTAGCGCGCGCGCCCTACCAGCCCAGACTGTGGAGCATCTTTTAAGCAAGCGGTGCCACAAAATATTCAAATGATAGTGAGCCTCATATTTGCAATTGCTTCCATATCATCACCATTTTTTTTCATTTTTAATCTGTCCGTCGACAGCTTCCAGGATCTATAAGTCAGACTCTGCAATAGTGTAGCCTTGATAGAGAGGGCTCAACCACACTGCACTATTAGAGAAGTATCACTACACTGGGGAGAGTCTGAGCGTCCATGTAAAACTCTTTTGACCTCTAGTGCGCCGCTAAAACGTGTTGTATCAAACTGTTTGTCTATCTTAATACAAAGACGCGCAAATTTTTTGCGTGATCCAGAAAACTATTAGAGAAGTATGTCAAGATCTGACTGATGGTAACATTTTGGTGTCGCAATGGTTAAAAATAATACCTTTGTAGGTCCATGACATGCATCTATTGAATCTGATTATCTGATGCTTCACATATTAGAGACTAAAAATTTTATTCAACATGGGACACTACAAAAGGCATCCCATTTGTGCGAGAGTTCGAGTAGTTTTGAAGTAAAAACATACTTGCTTTCTAACTCAGAACATGTATACCTCTATTGGTCGTATTGGATGTTCTATGTCTCTTTGGACCTGGTTGGTTGCTCATATGACCTTGGCTTGCCTCATATCATTAGTGAGCCAGTGCGATGGCAGGCATGTTTCATTCTGCTAGGTAGACGATGACCTTGGCTGCTTTGTAGTTGTAGAAGATTCCAGGACAAACAAATTATGCAAGCATGAACAGTACAAACAAACATAGGATACCGGTTCTGTAGGAACGAAAATAGCCATAAAAAACTATTCTCAAACAAAAAATAGAAAAAGATGTAAATAATGACTTGTTTCCACCAGAGTTAACAAAGTAGGGGAATTTGCCTCCTAGTCTGTTGTGCTAGATGACACGGAAGCTACATGCCAAGTGTCGGGTTCATAAACCCGCGGTCTCTAATGGGGTCCGTTTTCCAGTAAAAACTCGGCCCAGCAGACGGCATTACAGACGACGCGTAACTTCTGGGCTGACCCAAATACCTAACGACAGGCCGGAAGAATGATCCAGTCTCCGACCGGAAGGCCTCTGACTTCGACCGGCTTCTCCGACCGGAAGGCCTGGCCAAGGAGGGGACGACGCTCACTTCTGACTCCGACCCGCTTCTCCGACCGGAAGTACACCGAACCTCTGCTTACAGCTCTTTCTCCGACCGGCGCGGTCGAAGCCGACTGGGAACGACCGAACGGGGACGCCCGCTCGGTAAGAACCCAAGAATTAGGCGGAGCAGATAAGCCGAGGCGCTCAAGTCAACCATAATATTGAGGACCGTACTCTGCACACCTGCAGGACAGTACTGTCAGGCCATGTCAGAAGGGTGCTTTGCAACCTTCCAGACATGTCAGAACACGAACAGTGTTGTGGGTGTCGACATTTGTCCTACAGTATGGTAGACGCCGACATTTGCCATACCAGAAGAACATGATGGAGCCTACCACATGCATCTAGGCGTCAACAGTATTGTGGGCGTCGACAAACCGTCTTGTACCCAACGGCGTGGACAACAAGACTAGGTAGCACACACGCTCTCTTTCTCTCTCACACACTCTCTCTCACTTGTAAGGCCATTCCCTTCACCTATAAAAGGCGATGCGCTCCCTCCTAAGAGGAGAACGGACGACAGACGGTTCATTCTGACTCCCTCTGCTAAGCTTTAGACGTTCTGAGCACTCGAACAACTTTACAGCTCTAGAACTCTAAAGCTACACAGAGCATACGTTCGAACACTTAGCGCACGTTGGAGCTCCTGTCACTCTTGGCCCTTCAGTCCAGAGTCCGACCGGACCTCTGACACCCCCATCTTATTCCCACTCGTTTGTAACCCCATAGCAAACTTCAAGCACCTGGGCTCAGGAATAAAGTCACCGACCGACTCAAACTGGACGTAGGTCACGTTGCCTGAACCAGTATAAACCCTGTGTCATTGAGTGCTAGGCCACATCCGATCACAACGTACGGCAAAACAACAAATATTTACTTGTTGGTCACTTTTCGCACCAACAGTTGGCGCCATCCGTGGGGAGGACACCGTACGTTCACGCTTTTGATCATCGGATGGCCCACCTTTCCGCCATCTTCGACATGACGGGCTCAAGCGATATGACTCGCTTCGGCTCGATGGAGTTTCCCACGCTCCCACCTATTGGGATGTGGGTTCCTCCCGTCTTCGAGCCGCCCCAGACCTTCCTCTTCGGAACTCTGGACTTCGTCGCAGACCGGCTCGGCGTGCTTCGTCTTCGCGAGGAGGCACTTGTCCTGGCGCCGTCGGAGGAGGAGCGCCCTCCGTTGGCTCTAGGCCACCCGTCGACCTCAACGATGAGACGCCTGTGCTTTGCTCCGAGCCCACGCTGGGCTCAAACCCCACTGTGAGTAACATACATATTGTTCTTCACTCGCTACTTAATATCTTCCGTCGACTCTCCGGAGGGACCCCGTTGTCCTCACCACGACCGCCATGCGACCGGTTCCCCTACGGCCTCGCATCCCCCGCGGACACATACGCACGGAGGCTCTGAAAGATGTTGACGCCGCCCCCTCTCACATCCGAATTTGTGGGGATGGCGGGCTACGCTCCCGTCTCTTTCCACGACCTCATGGATGACGAGGTCGAAAGCGACAGCTCCAGTATCGGCGACGTCATGGCGCCTAGCCACCCTCTGTCCTAGGAGTGCGCTATGGCGGATGCTCTGAGACGCCACCGGTGGTAGCGGAGTCTCTACAGACTCACACCCCTCCAGACCCTCGTGCGGAGGCCCTCGCGCGTGCGCAGGAGCACGGCGAGAAGCTACGACAAAGGCGGCAGAGCCAGCCACCACCTGCGCCGACGCGCTCAGCGCAGCACGCAACACCATGCGCATGTAACCCAGCTAGCGGCGCTCGAGGTCACGCCCGCCAGGTCCAGCGCAACATCATGGATGGGGAAACGATCCCCCGCAGTTTGCTCGGGCTGGCCAGAACATTGCCGTTGCGACGATGCTTCTGCACGGCCTTCCTGAGCCTAACGACCCCCAGGAACAGGCGATCCACCGGAACCTTCGGGCGCTGGTGGAAACCACCGCCATTCAATAGGCGGAGAGCTCCATGTCGCAACACCGACTCGCAGCCTCTTTCCCTACTGGGGGAATGGGGGCGCATCAGTCGAATCACTCCATCCGCTCACCACTACAGTCGCTGGGCGCGGAACAGGAGGCCGTAGCTACACCACAGCCTGACCCGGCGCCCACACCACACCGACCACCTGTGCGCGAACGCCTCGGGCCAAACTGAGATGCTCGCAGCATCATCAAAAATCAGCATCAAGCCCGGCGCGATGATGATGTCCACCATGCGGCGGTGAGAGCGGGCAGCACGGGCCCTGGCTGGACCATCGAGGGGAGCGGGGAAACACACCCCAGGCATGGTCGCCGAGC